AGCAGGAGGGAGCAAGTTGCTTCAAACAAGGTTCAACTTTCTGCCAGTTTAATCTTCATCTCATTGACAGACTTCTGAATCTTAATTTAATTATAGATCCTTAAATGTTTTCTGATATCATATCTCAATCTCTCTGTTCTATGTCTTTTCATGGCTCCTTTTTTGTCGCGGGGCAGAGGAATAGATCATTTTTTCCAGTGTCCATTAAAATTCCCTTTGCCTGCAGTGCAGTATGCTCTATAAAAGAGATGAACCTGCTGCAAGTGAAATAAGCTGATGCTGCACTGTCTTTTTAGAGCAACAACAATCTTTATAGATTATTTTTCCAAGTGTCATGCATCTCCCTCAAAGTCACAAGTGACTGTTATCAATTAATATACTTAATAGTCTCATTTTCGATTCACATCCAGGCCACACAGAGTCTATGCTCGCCCTGGCAGGTGCTTGAAAGCTTTGCCTTTCAGAGATAAAATGTTACCTTGTATGTGATAGGGGTGGTAAGGGGGGGGTGATTCAGGAGCAGAAAGACATGTTAAAGTGCAGCACCTGAGGCCTTCTTGTTTTCTGAATTTACAGTCTCAGGCTGGCAGTCGTATAAATGAGTGATGCTCTCTGATGTTCTCTTCCAAGCAGGCTATGAAATTGGCAGGGAGTCTTCAGTTTTGTGCTGATGTGTCCAGAATTCAAATAATTTGATTCTTGGGTATAATGACAATTGGAGGCACAGTATTACCTTGAGAAAAAGAGATGGGAGAGACAGCTTCTGTATCCTGGATTGAATTAACAACCAATTCCCATTTACTCTCTCCGCTGAAAACTCTATTATGCGGGGATCTTATTGGCCTTATTCAAGGGCATGGAATTAAAAAAGTGATATCGATGGTAATGCTCTCATCTTCCTACCATGACATTGAATAATGGGGACAAAGAAGGGAAATCTTGAAGGGTGATATGCCTTTTAAAATACTGCTGATATTGAAAACATATAAAGGACAATGCATTTGAATATCAGCTGATGAAGTCATATTCAGATTATTGTGCTTTTTGCCTATGCCTAGAAATCACCTTTGCTTTTATTTTTGCCATTGTTTTTGGAACATTTTATTTTCTTGTGATTTCAGGAGAGAGTCCTTACATACTTGAGATGAGGATGGAGGTGAAGCGTTGGTTACACTAATTCCAAGAGAAATCTGTTCTCTCTCCTCCTGGATCCAGAGAGAAAGAATCAGGAGTCTGGCAGGGAAAATTCCACCAACAGACTGGTGTGATTGCACAAGCAGAGTAAAGCTACTGCTCAAGTGGAGGCTCTTCTTCTGGCACAAGTTGTCGTCTTCCAGTTCAGCTTAAGCCCTGTCTGAAGTTACGTACGCTAGATAAAACTGGTGGTCTTATAACAAAATAAGAATATCCACTGTGGACCCTGCCACATCCTTCCTTTACAAATATATTCGTTTAGGTTTTGAAAGGTATTTTCCCGTGTAAATGATACCTTACGCAAAATAATGAGTGTATTTCCATTAGGAAGTTTTAAATGATATTTTACAGAATAAGTGATAGTATCTCCATTTTACAAGTGGGCAACAGAGGAGCAGACTATTTAACCACCTTGCCAAAAGTCACACAGGAAATAACTTTCTGAGGTGGGAACAAAACACAGATCTTGCTCTCATTAGTGCAAAACCACAAAGCCTCCCTGAACTATTGACACTCTTACCTCATCTCAACCCAGATGTTAACGAGGTCCCTTACGCTAAATTTTCAGTCAAGCCTCCCTGTGATCTGGAATCATGGAAATCAGCTCTGCAGCATGCCTGAGTATGGCTAAAAAATTACACTGGAAAGGGCTTAGGGAACAAGTGTCAAAACTCTTACCTGCAATGATACCCGTCGATTCTGACCACATCGATGCTATCGTTATGCTGGTGTAACTCTGTGATTGCAGTTATTTTAGAGTCAGTTACACCATCGTGCTGTATGAGATCAGGATGTGGCTCCAAACCTCTTCATAGCAATTCTGAAAAGTCAATATTGTGGTTTACTTTCTCCAAGGGAAGCTCATTTTGTCTCCCACTGCCCCTCGCAGTCAGGCCTATCGGCAGACGGGTATTTGTGATCTGAAACGCGTGGTCTTCGGTCAGAGACCCTTCAGCTGGCAGTGCCGTGGGATGGAGCGGAGTCCCAGTCTCCCCAGTGTACGACACCCCCTTTGATACCCGTTCATCTCCGTCATTAGCGTGTGACTACCGAAAAATCAGCTTTATAGCTGAGTGCCATCATCTGCAAAATTTTCTTGCCATGAATTAGTAGATGTTCATGAAGCCGTAAGCACTACTCTGCCTTGCTCATACAATAGTGCTATCAAGGTGTGGGTTTCTGGGGAGAGGGGGCGAAAGAAGAGGGGCTCTGAGAGGGACATTGCAATGACATGGCAGGGCACGATGGCCTGGAAGGCTTTAAAGGCATCTGCCACGAAGCTGTTGGTACTACCTTGTCTGGTGATGCGCAGCTCACCGTATGTGATCCCACGCACCGACCTGAAGAACGGTCGGGCACCTCCACCCTGCATTAGCATCCTGGTTACATCCACCAAGCTGTGGAAACTAACAGGGACACTGCGACTTCATTTCTAGCTGGTCAGAATATTTGCAAGGAGCCACTGAGGGTGAAGAGAGATGATAGCTATGGTTTCCTTGGGTACGTAGCTTTCTTGCCTGTGCTGGCAGGGATACATTTTAGGCTAAGAATTAAAATTATACCAGCTACCTATGGCCTCCAGAGGTCAGCATATCACTTGAGAAGAGCTAAATCACAGAGCCTTCAACCTATACTTTTCAAGCATGATCTCATTATGTCCTCTGCATAGTTTCCAACTTCACAGGTAGTAAAATTTAAAGGTTTTGTCCCCAACGCTAGTTGTGACAACAAAAGCAAGAAAAGAAAAAATCAGTCTCGGAATATCCATTGTAAAATGCAAAATATTGTCATTGGTCAGTACTGCCGCTTGGATGAGAGATCCTTTAGGTGACAAGTTTATTGAAAATAGTCAGAGAAATAGATATCCATATGCTTAGATGCCTTTCCTTACATGTTAGTACCGATGGGGTGAATGGATAAGCCAACTGTCTTCTGAGTGGACTGTCAGACTCGTTCAGGTGTGTTAAAAGCTTTATTTTTTTAGTACATTTGAACACAACATGCAGTTCTAGTGACACTCTCAAAAAGGATAATGTAGAACCAGAAAACATACAGAGATGAGAAACAGAGATTATCAAAGATGTGAAACAGCTTTCACGCAAGAAGGAACTTGGACTATTCATCTCAGAAAAAATAAGTTGGAGGGAATATGATATAGGTCTTTAAAGTAAACAATAGTGGGAAAAAAAGGTGATAGGAAATGGCTATTCATTATCTCTCACAATATGGTGGTCAACCCATGAAGTTATCAGGCAACAGGTTTTGAAATAAACACAGCATAGAATTAAACTGTGAAAATTGTTGCTTTGAGACTTCATGGAGGCCAAAGAGTCAAAAAAAAAAGGGACTAGGCAAACTCACAGAGAATGGGTCTACGGGTTGGTGTTAAGCAGAGGGGTCTGAAGGCAAGCTCACACAAAGCTCATTGGACCTTCCTGCAAGCTGGAAAGGCTTCATGTGGAGGTCACTCCCTGCTTGCCTGAACACCCACTACTTGTCTCTGTGGGAGTAAGAGAGCCAATGTCCGCTTTTGCCTGACCAGGCATACTTCTCAGGCTCTTAGTAGTACCACAATGCTAAGAAACTTCCTTTTGCTTAGGAAGCAAGTGACAACAGTCTTTTCTTGAAAGGCTCTGAACTTAATTCTTTCTAAATACTAGCAAGTATTCATAGAATCGTAGAATGCTTTGGGTGGGAAGGGACCTTTAGAGGCCACCCAGCCCAACCCCTGCAGTGAGCAGGGACAGCTTTAACCAGACCAGGGTGCTCAGAGCCCCGTCCAACCTGGCCTTGAACATTTCCAGGGATGGGGCCTCCACTGCCTCTCTGGGCAACCTGTTCCAGTGCTTGACCACCCTCATTGTAAAAAATTTCTTCCTTATATCCAGTCTAAATCTACCCTCCTTTAGTTTAAAACCATTACTCCTTGTCCTGTCACAACAGGCCTTGTTAAAAAGATTGTCCCCATCTTTTCTATAGGCCCCCTTTAAGTACTGGTAGGCCGCAATAAGGTCTCCCCAGAGCCTTCTCTTCTCCAGGCTGAACAACCCCAACTCTCTCAGCCTGGCCTCATAGGAGAGGTGCTCCAGTCCTTGGATCATTTTTGTGGCCCTCCTCTGGACCCGCTCCAGCAGGTCCATGTCCTTCTTGTGCTGAGGGCCCCAGAGCTGATTGATTGGCTCTGGTGATATTATACTGGATTCAATAATCCAGAGCAAAATCAGGATGAGCTATCTTTCTAGGAGACCCTAATCTTACATGGTCTCCTCTGAGATCAGATAGGCTCTGTCTTTATTGTGAAGTAACACCCAAATGTATTTCTCTATGGGCCACCAGCCTCAAAACATCCTCATAAACACCAAAGAGACTCAGTGTCACACACCACTATCTGATTTCTCCTACAACACTATCTAATTTCTCCTTAGCATGAAGAACTCTACAAGGCTTACTGAGACCTCAGTGTTCTCACATTACTGCTTTGAAACGCAACCTTAAGTGGATCCAGCAGGCATCAGCCGTAGACAAAGTATAGAAACCCTGCTACAAAAAAGAAAATAAATAATACAAACAAAAAAATCCAGCCCAACTCCAAAAAAAAGAAATAACAACACTCAAATCTTCTGTTATTTTTATTAAAGCTGCAGAGTCTTACTACACACAACAAATATTTTATTGATATATTCTAAGTTAATAAAATAGTTGAACAACTCTTTAGATTTATATTTGTATAGAAATGATCTGTGGAACATCTCATCTTGAAACAGCAGTGCCTGAAAACAACTATTCAGCAAATTAAAGAAGAGTTTGGGACGAGAGGATGCACTGTTCATTCTCAAAGAAAAAAAAAAAATCCATGCAAAAATAACCCCCACCCTCTTCCCGCTTTCTCTCCTACCCAAAGTGTAAGGCCGTATAGAATGACCACGTAAGTGATGGCCTTTTTCTTCCAGTATTCTTCCTCATGTCTACATTAGGAGCTGTCATCTAAACTCAGTAACTAAAACAAGACGAAAAGAAAATTCAATTGCACAATCCTAGTCTGCAGGTGACAAAGTCATAACATCTCTTTACAGAAGTCCCTACTCTTTTTCCAGTTAGGAGAATTCCTCATCATGTTGTGTTTGTTCCCCAGCTCTCGCCTACATGGCTGATGTCAGTTATTGTCCATATGCCTTTGTTAACAGAAGTCAGTCTATCTACTATTGCTTCGGTCTCCCTTCTTCACCTATGTGTAGTTTAGATTCTACGTAGCACTGCCTGCAAAGACCCGACTCTCTGGTATTTTCCCCCCATTTTAGACAAAGCCCATAGCTCAAGTGATGATGTCCTCACTGCAGCTATGCATCGGTGTCACCCATGAGATGTCTTTTATAGACTATGAGGCATGTCTTTGCTAGATCATTCCATTTATCTTAGTCCACTCGTAGATGTCCTGTTCACATACTATGTCTGAGTTGATGAGGAGGTATCTGTCCCCAACACAGAAATGTTTCTGGCAGGCAGCACATTTGAAGCATTCAAGGTGATACACTTTGTCCTTCACCCGCATGGTCATCTCGTAAGCCCGGATTCGCTTGTCGCAGGAGGCGCAGAGGCCATCTTGGCCAAAGAGCCTAAAACAACAACAGCAGAGAAGTAAGCAGAGTTCCTTTGCTGGGGAGATGCGAAAAACCAAATCAAAACAGGAACGCAACATCAGCGCCTTGATCCGTTAGTCACAGTATTGCCAGGTTAGATACAGGTCACATGGAAAGATGCCAAGCAAATCTAAACTTTGCAACACCAAAAATTGAAGTAGACAGTCCAAGCTCCTCACCTGTTTCCCATACAATTGACTTTTCTGATCAGTGACCTTATCCTGAATTGCTGAGCAGCTCCAGGAGGAGCAAAGGTTCCCCAGATCATAGCATAAAGTTGTGCCATGCTAATACTTCCACTTCCATGATTGATAGAAATTACCTTTCTGTTGATAAATTTTGCCTATCTTCAGCTGTTGCTATTGTAGTTTACAGAAAGGAGTTGACACAAGCCATGGGCTAAGACTCCCCTGTCTCTTGTCTTTGCCTCCATGTTGGAGATTCTTTCAAACCCAAACATTTCTATATCCATGAAGCCACTCCTGCTGGGTTTCAGATGGATACATGCTAAGACCTTCTAGATACTTCTGCTGGCCCAAACAATTTTATGATCTGGACTGCTCTTTCACCCGTATTGAAAACCCCTGCTGAGATCACGATGGTATGGTCTATTAAAAGGAGCCTCTAATGAATGCACTAGATATGTATTCCCCTCACAGCAGAGGGGAATTCACCTGGAGCAGTGCGACGTACTCAGCTATGTGTGAACGCCAGTCTTTCATACAGCCTGCCAGCTACAGAGTTTGTAATTCAAATCATTAATAAATAAGCAGAAACATACTTTTTTATTCTTACTTGTTCACAAAGTATACACCTATTGAGGTTGACTTCTAAGTTTCCATACTAATTCTGGAAAGAGTTTTTCCACCTCCTACACTTCTCTTACATATGCTGTGCCTGCTTCACATCACCTTCTGAACTGGAAAAAGGATGCCCACTAATTTAAGAGAGGTCTTTAAGGGGAACAGATGTCATTTCTTGCATCTACCAGGAGATGTCAGTGTTTACTTCTGCCCAGCAAAAGTAATAACGGCTACACAAAGGTTGCCAAATTTTTCATTAATGAGGGAAGATATTCTATGTTGCATTACTAAATAAATAAAAACGTTGACTTTCACTGCAAGAAAATACATTAATTGTATTGCCATACTTTCCATTTCTCCCGTTTTGAGATGAAAAGTATTTGGAAAGTGTAACTGACACAGGATCACTGCTGGACCATTGTGTATGTGGAGCACTTACAAGCCACCCCATTAGCAGAACTCAGCTCTTATTTCTGCTTAGCAAACTTCCCATCGGTAAAGCTCAGGGACACCGTTCTTGGGAACTGCACTGAGATTTTGGTTTAGTTTTTCCTGGCAGGTAAATTAGCCTGCAGTAAGGTAGCTGAAAAAATATCAAATGCCACTATTCTGTTCCACAGACCTCCTGTAACGTTAGGGATCCATTAGAGGAAATGGTACACAACCAGCACAGCGAAGAGCAATACACTTTAATTGTAATCAAGAATCATAGAATCGTTTAGGTTGGAAAAGACTTTTAAGATCATCCAGTCCAACCATTAACCTAACACTACCAAGTCCACCACTAAACCCATTAAGGGTAGAGTAGAATATAAAGAATATCAAGATCCTTTATTATCAATTTCTGTGAAATATATTAATCTCAGTTTAATTGTTCTACTTAAAAATTTTGGCAAAACAGGGAGGCAGAGAGCTGTTAATGAAGATGCCTGTACCGAGTATATTTGTAGGATCTGATTCAGCAAACCAGGTAAATTCTTGTCTGTTTAGGACCAGGCTTAAGAACGCTAAAAATCCACTGGATCCAAAAATCAGTGCAATCAAACTTTCCTGTACTGGCTGTAGCTTTGCAATAAACATAGAGCACATTGCATCTTTCTGCTTGAAGTGTCCCAGATAACTTTACCAGCGATGCAGAAAAAGACAGGGAATCGATCGGCGTATAAAAGGCAGTGGCTTCGCACACCAAGCAGGTACAGCAGCCCTGCTGGCTAGTGGGATCAAGCATCTCCTCTACAGCCGATATCACTGCATCAGGAAAATGAACTGAATTCAGTTACCTTGGATACCGTGTTCTTAAATGAGAGAACTAAATGATATTTCATCAGTCGCCGATCTTGGCACCTGGTTTTATATACCTTTCAGCTCCAAGGCAATGCTTGGAGAAGCGCAGAACTTCTTAAAACCATTCAGGGGAACCGGTTCATTGTCAGCTCAGGGGGAGCTTGCTGAAATTCATCACCTTTTCCCAATTTCTACTTGCCAGAATCCCACGCTGACGCTGCGCGGTTCGCCCGGAGCTATCAGGTTATGTCTGTGCAGGCTGATGGATGCCAACAACCCCAAGGCCCCAGGAGTTCTTACTATGTTCTTCACATTTTCAGGTAATTCTCTTTAGTCCACAACATGTAGCAATGCTTTCATTTTCATTAAAAAATGCTTTTTTCCCCCAACACGATTTTTAAGATTTACCTATAAGCAACTCTAAGTGACCTAATCAACACAGATAAGCTCTGGATTTACCTATAACTTGCTGAAGAAGCCCAGCAGTACCATAAAGCATCTGTGCGTGAACCCCCAAAATATATGAGCCCACACTGTCAACCCGAGCTTGCAAACGGTGCCGCGTTACAACTGCGACTGCTGTCAGCCTTTACGTTTAAGAGTAATCAAAAATGAATTCTTTATGGATCTTTGCTCGCTGGCCGTACTAATTCAAATGACAAAGCAAAGCTGAAATGATAGAAAGAAGGGGAGCGAGGGTAGGACGAGCGGGTTGTGTACCTGAGATAGTCCCTTCTGCAGAGCTTTCTGCCCAGTTTGTAATACAACCGTCTCCCCACCTCTCCGAGCCTGCACCCGCACAGGTCGCAGCTGAGGCAGTCTTCGTGCCAATACTGGTCGATGGCTTTCAGGAAATAGCGGTCCCCGATGTTCTGCTGGCAGCCGCCGCATGTCAGCAGCGAAGGGGGAATTTGGAGGACTTCATCCACAGGCTCCCTGAGGGAATGAAGGAATGATTGGAGAAGGAAAATGTACTCGGAAAGCATTCACATGAGAAGGAGGAGAAGGAAAGACAAAACACAAGGCTGGTCAAGTTAGAGCAGGGATTCAACCCTCATTTTTTCTCCCAGATTTATCCACTTTTGACATCAGAGGGAGCAGGACTTCACTCTTCTTCTGCTTTGAAAAAAAAGAACAGCTGAAAATGTAGAGTTAATAAGCATATGCAAAAAATTTCTTATTTTCTTCAAAGAATAATGCATAAACATGACAATCTCTGTATCACCCGTGTGTATTCATTACTGTAGAGGCATCTACTACTTTACTAGTACCTTGGTGTCTGTGTAGATACATCATTTTTCTTCTACCGGACAGAACATGAATTGCGCAGTCATGTTTCTCAATCCATGCAGTTCTTGTAAAAGAAATACCTTTCCTATAACACGATTCTTCCATAATTAAAGATTGCCCTTTTTCAAAAGTATAATCCAAAAGCTGCCCGGATTCACCGTTTCACAGAAATGCTGGTTATGTCTGTGCAGACTGAGGGATGCGAACAAGCCCGAAGTCTTACTATATTCTTCACATTTTCAAATAATTCTGGTTTGTCCACAACACATAGCAATGCCTTCCTTTCCATCAAAAAATTCTTTTTTTTTTTCCCAAGAAGATTTTTAAGATTTAACCTATAAATAACTCCAAGTGACCTAATGAACACAGACCACCTTTGGATTTACCTCTAACTTACTGAAGAACCTCGGCAGTACCACAAAGCATCTGTGCCTGAACCCCAAAATACATGAGCCCGTATTGTAAACCGGAGCGTGCAAGCTTTGACTGTTAGTGCTGCTGGAAGCAAAGGGAATTTCTGTCTCACCAAGGGCTAAAGGACTAGAAAAGGCACCCGAGGGGTTTTACATGCAGTCAACTTTCCGTTGGGAAACGTAAATTTGAAGACTAAGTCTGGGGACGTCATTTCTCTGAAGGGCATGAAACGAATAAATACTACAGAGGCGGCTGTTGCCCAACTGGTTTAAGTTTTGCTGCTGTTTTTAATAGAGGCAGAATTTTACCTGATGTTACTGCAGGACTTCTTGTTTTGCCTTCAGCTAAGGACATGAATCCCCTGGGATGGGTCTATGCCAACATAGCTCAAACAATTATTTGGGATTTACACATCCCTGCGTGAAGGGAGGCACAAATCTTTACTGTGATATTAGCACTGACTATTCATGCGTTGTATTTTTTTCCCTTTTTAAAAAGCTCTGAAATCTAGGATGGTGCTGGTAATACCTGGGGATAAAGGAAGAATTTTCTTCAAAGCTACTGTCTTAAGGAATTCTCTTCTTTGCCTTTTTGTGTAATTTTACAAGTTCTGCCAAAAAATAAAAGCGGGGGGCAAAAAAATTAAAAGCGAGGTGCCTGAGCTCAGTTCTGCAAGGTTTGCAGTGACCTGGTGCTGCCGCTGAGGTCCTCATCCAAACCCCAGGGAAGTTAATAAAAAAATCCTATTGGATCAATCCTTTAAGCCCTTGCTTCATTTAAAACCCGTGGCTAGCGGCAAGGAAGGCCTCTGTTTGCACCTTTATGCTTCGCTGGATCACGAGCGAGGCGCTCAATATGTGGTAAGCGTGGAGCCCCAAATTTTTGCGTACGTTACTGGGTTCTCGCTCTAGCACGGAGCCCCTCAGCGCTGGTTCTGTCGCTGCTCTGTCCTCCCCTGGGCTGGGGGGGCAGAGGAGACCCACGCTGATGCAGAAGGATCAGGCTGCTCCCACTTTCCAGCAGGCAACAGGAAAAAATCATATTACTACTGCTTATTTACTGGCTCAGCAGTTTCCTGGGCAAAAATTACTGTCTTCAGCAGGGAGAAACGACCACCGGTCACAAACTTCTGTGCTGAGAAACCGATTCTGCAGTTTTTATTTAGGCACGCTGAGCCCTAGGATATTATCTGATTGTATTCTGTTCTGGTTTTCACTCTTCTAAGTTTAAACTGCTGCACCCTGCACGTTGTGTCATCACATCCCGCTCCTACCAGCTCTCCGTCCTGTGAGTTTTCGTTAAAATAATGAGGAACTCGGTATGTGATTGGGCCCTACTTTTTCCAAGTTTATTCTTTCGGGCCCCATACTCCCTTTCTTAACGTGTGGGCTCCACACTGACAAGTTCTGAGAGCTTTCCAACAGAAGGAAATGCCCATTATCCTCCTTTATTATCCATTATTTGAAACTTCAGATGTACCCCAAAATATTTCATCTTAGGGGCATTCAGGAATCACAAGCCAGGTCCCTCTGAAAGCCCTGAACTCCGGAACAGCCTGGCGGATGTTTACGCAGAACAGAACTGCTGGTTTAGGCATCAGCTTTTTGATGTCCACAGCTTTCTAAGCCAGCACTTAAGTCACTAGAACACAAGGTAGGTAAATAAATAAAGATTACTAGAACTTTGCAGTTGAAACCTGGACATCGTATACCCAGATGGTCATTTCTTAAAAAGCGGTATAAAATAAGAGAAATTGTAACATGTAAAACAGCATCTGTGACACGGAACGAATCATTTAATCCCCAAAAGAAGCAGTTCCCATGTGTTCACTCCGGGCTTCAAGCAATGGCACTTTTAGTATCTCACAGGAAACAAGCCACGAATGACTCAAGTTTACTAAGAGCGATGTTTTAAGCGTTATCTGAAAATGGAGATATTATAATTTTTTTTCTTTTCTTCTCTCTTATCATGATTCCAGAGAAGCATAACTGCAGTTAATAGCGCGTACAGGGCCGAAGTGACTCTGGGTTTGCGCTGAGTTCCCGTGCCTCGCCAGCGGGATGCCTGTGGGCAGGAGGGACGGGGCAGCTGCGGAGCACAGCCCCAAGCCTGGAGCGGGACACGGGAGCCCGTCCCTTCCCCGAGTGGGAAACCAGGGGGGGAAATGCTCATCTTCTGCATCCCGTCCATCAGTCCTTCCTACGTGCCCTTTGCAGAACACCCTGCCCCCACCAAAGCAGTTTATACAAGCTCTTGAAAGTTGCATTATGAAAATGTGGAAGTTGGGCACCCGCAGATAACAGCTCTGACCTCTCACTACAGCCGGCTGCAGCGAGTCGGGCGGATCAGAGCCGGGGCGGAGAGGGTCCCTCCGAACGAGAAACGCCTTCAGATCGGGAAAGCGGGATGCTCTCCCTCTCCCCGATAACAGCTCTGACCTCTCACTACAGCCGGCTGCAGCGAGTCGGGCGGATCAGAGCCGGGGCGGAGAGGGTCCCTCCGAACGAGAAACGCCTTCAGATCGGGAAAGCGGGATGCTCTCCCTCTCCCCG